AGCGAAAGCAGTACTCAGGGCCGCTTCCGAAGTGCAATAAGTCTAACTTCCATCACAAGGGAGCTTGCCCAGTGTGCCAAAACTGTAAGCAAACAGGCCATTAGTCGAAGTATTGTAAGCTGAATAAGGAGGGAAAAAGCGCATGTTACGAGTGCGGGAGTACTGATCATCTCCGTAGAGCATGCCCCAAACTGAACAATGGACATGGTAACAATGGACAAGGCCAAACCAGGCAAAACTTCCAAGGAAATCAAGTTGGATGGCCAAGAGGTGTAGCCTTTGTGATTGATGCAGAAGAAGCTCGTCAGAACCCTGAAGTGATAACATGTACGTTTCTCCTGAACAACCATTTTGCATCAGTAATATTCGATGCGGTAGCAGACAGGAGTTTTGTTTCTTTAGCATTTAGACCATTAATTGGCTTGAAATCGGTAAAGATGAGGAATTCTTATGCTATTGAACTTGCTGATGGGTATGAAATTAGGGCTAGTGATATAATTCCTGGTTGTACTCTGAATTTAGCTGATAAACTCTTTAGCATTGACCTAATTCCCATAGAGCTAGGTAGTTTTGATGTGATAGTGGGAATGGATTGGTTATCCAAAAATAGAGCGGACATTGGTTGTTACGAGAAAGTCATTAGAGTGCCTCTCCCTAATGGAGAAACCCTTATCATACACGGTGAGAAGCCAAGAAGAAGTTTAAACATAGTATCAAGCATGAAGATTCACAAATACTTGAAGAAGAATTGTATTGCATTGATGGCTCACGTGCTAGAAAGAGAACCTAAAGTTAAGCAACTCAAGGAGATTCCGGTGGTTCAAAACTATCCCGAAGTATTTCCGGAGGAATTACCCGATCTACCCCCTTATAGACAGGTCAAATTTCGGATAGACTTAATTCCCGGAGCGGCACCGGTAGCAAAAGCACCATATCGCCTTGCACCATCCGAGATGCAAGAACTATCCGGACAACTTCAAGAACTTCTAGACAAAGGGTTTATTCAACCAAGTTCTTCACCTTGGGGAGCCCCAGTGTTATTCGTCAAAAAGAAAGATGGTTCGTTACCAATGTGCATTGATTACAGAGAATTGAACAAGTTGACAATCAAGAATCGATATCCCCTCCCTAGAACTGCTAAAGCTCATGACTCAATTTGGGTCATAGTGGATCGACTTACGAAATCTGCTCACCTTCTCCCCATTCGAGAAGATTTCAAGATGGAAAAATTGGCCCAAATCTACATCGACAAAATTGTTTCTCTGCATGGTGTACCCTTATCTATCATTTCTGATAGAGATAGTCGTTTTGCATCTCGATTTTGGCGGATGTTACAGAGGGCACTAGGAACCAAGATAGATTTGAGCACAGCTTACCACCCTCAGACAGTTGGGCAGACGGAGAGAACAATACAAACATTGGAAGACATGCTACGAGCGTGTGTCATTGAGTTCAAAGGAAATTGGGATACTCATCTGCCTCTAATTGATTTTTCCTACAACAACAGTTACCACACGAGTATCCAATGTGCTCCATATGAAGCATTGTATGGACGTAGGTGTCATTCGCCCTTATGTTGGATAGAAATTGGAGACAGACAGTTGACTAGACTCGAACTTATCCAGGAAACATCTGACAAGATTGCTATCATCAAGGATAGGCTTAAAGTTGCTAGAGATCGTCAGAAAAGTTATGTGGATAATCGTCGTAAACCATTAGAATTCCAAGTAGGAGACAAGGTACTTTTAAAAGTGTCGCCTTGGAAAGGGCTTGTACGATTTGGTAAGAAAGGAAAACTAAGCCCGAGATATGTTGGACCCTTTGAAATCCTTGAAAGGATTGGTCCGGTAGCGTATAAACTTCAATTGCCCCAAGAGTTAAGCACCATTCATGACACATTCCACGTCTCCAACCTTAAGAAATGTCTAGCCGACGAAGCATTGATAGTACCCCTGGAGGAAATTAAGAACAATGATAAGCTGAACTTCGTTGAAGAACCGATAGAAATCCTTGACATGGAGGTAAAACAACTTAAGCGGAGTAAGATCCCGATTGTGAAAGTTCGATGGAACTCAAAACGCGGGCCGGAGTACACCTGGGAGCACGAGGACTTCATAAAGGAAAGGTATCCACAACTTTTCCCTTGCGACAACAAACGATGACATAGAATGAATTTCAGGACGAAATTCTTTTTAAGTGGGGGATACTGTGACAACTGTCAATTCAGGTCATTCTCGGACTCATGCATCTTTATAAAAACCATTCATGCACAACATGCCATGACCTAGTAGTATAAATTAGGTCAAAAATCTTGCATAAACTAGGATCCAACTAAGGTCTAGGACTAATATACTTGATACTTACAATGCTAGTAAGTTGGTTAGCTACAATAGGAAATGCCAATACTATAATTAGAATAAAGCTTCAAGCTTTGTTACAATTGAAATAGGGTATAAAACCCTAAAAATAAATTAAAACATTCTAATTATACTTCAACATGTTGTTGAATATTAAACAATATTCCAAAAACCCTAAAGAGCCAAAAATCCAAAGTTATAAATTATAAAGCTTAAAAACCTTATAAAATTTGGCTATAAACTTCCTAATATCAAATTGTTATTAATCAATTTATGAATTATAGTCAATGAAATATAAATTAAATTACCAAGTAGTAATCATAATTTATTTGTTGAAAACAAGATTTTTAAATAAATCAAATTGCTTAATAAGCATTTTTATAAAAAAATGAATGTTTTTATATAAATGATGGAGATGAAGTTTATAAAGTTTAAAATTTTGGAGAGAGGAGGCCTAAATGCATGTAAGCCCTTGCGTGCATGAGATAATCTGCAAAATTTCAAGAGCTTTTGTTATTCCTTTGATTTATTAGAATTATTGCTAAAACCAAGTGCATAAATCATATAAAATAGTTCCAGAGGTTAATAAATCCCAACTAAATTCATGGATGATCCTTATGGGGAGTAATGACCCCTCACCAAATTTCAGCAATTTTTGTTACTGTTTAATATGATTTCTAATTTTCTTTTGTTTAGGACCTGATAAATTACAAAACCACTTTAGAAGATGTGAAAATTGTATCTAACAATTTTTGCGTACCTTACCTATGATGGGTGACTCCAAAAAATAATTTCAAGATTTTCCATCATGTCTTACTATTTTTCCCAATTTTTGGTAATTATAATGGTCTAAAAATGGGAAAAATAGTTCTGATTATCCAAAATTCATGAAAATTTACCAGGATATCATATTACACAGTAGGAGGTTACATAACAATTTTGAGGATTTTTCTCTACTGTAAACTATTGTTCTATTATTTTCTAAAGTTAATTGCATTAAAATGCACTTAAATACACATAAATACCCAAAACCAGTTTATACATTATGAAAACCACTTTTGATATTTTTTCCAGGATATTTATACTGTAAATGATGTTACAAAAGTTTATGGTGATTTATTTTAACTTCTTAATATTATTTTTTTAATTAATGACTATTTAAAGGAATAAAACAAGGAAAAATAGAAATACCCACTGAAAAATATCTTTTATATTTTTCCTAGTCTGCTTATGTATAATAACAGTTAAATAAAAAGTTTGGGTAATTTTGGAAACTGTTTTCTATTTATTTCAATTTTTATTGGAATTAATGCTCAAAAATTATAAAATATAATTAAACAGCTTGGAATTTCATTTTTATATTTTTCCCAGCTTAGTATTGACTAATAACAGTTAAATAAAAATTTTGAGAATTTTTATCCCTCGAATGCTATTTTTCGTGAATTTATGTTGTTATAGAGACTTAAAAAAAATTGGAAAATTAATATTCCAAAGTTGTAATTAATCACACGACTTGTAAAATTTCAATATTCCATAAAAAGTGTAACCAATTTATATAAAATACAATACTAAAACATAAATTGGCATTTCCCTATATGTAGAGTTTAGTATATTAGCATTAGATATCGACATGGAAACTCACTAGTGTGTGTGTTTGATGTCGTAGGATCCCGGTAGTAAAACGTTGGTGCATCCCAAAGTACCGCTTCTACCTACACGAAACATCGTGAGTATTCACACACTCCCCTATTTTCGGTTTTTATGTTTTGGGGTGGAAAAGCATGTCCATAAAAACTACTGTTTGCATGTTGTATTTAAATTATTTATTATCAAACATGATTGCTATTGTATTGCTATGTTTCTTTATATATGTCTATGCAACACAGAACATGAGAACTTATCGTACTAAGGCCCTTCCCTTATCTCTAACCATTAACTCTTTGAGCCAATGGTCATCATGGATAGCGCTATTAGAGATTGACAACTCCTCACTCGCTCGAATCGCTGGAGTGCGTGATACCATATTCATCTATGGAACGATAAGCATAGATCTCAATAGGGCTTCAGTCATAGGTTTGGGTGAGACTCATTGTTTTCTCATACACATACAAACTCGTTTCTCGTTATAGCAATAAACTTGTACTCATTAATAACAATCAACTTGTTTATCATTGAAGCAATGTACTTGTATTTACAAAAAGCCTTATTGTACCCTCGATTTTATAAACTTGTGAACTCACCAACTATTTTCATAGTTAACGCTCATTTTACAAGCTTTTTCAGGAAATAATTAGTAAGTGGATGTAAAGATTTATCATCATAGAGCATGCTGCATCGTGTTGAAGCTATTATGAAGTTATATTTTGAACAATGTTATTTTGAAAAACTTGTATTTTGTTTCTTTTGAAGCTATGGGTTGTAAACTTTAAATACTGATATGGTGATGTATCTTTATATTTTGCAATGAAACCGTTATCGCTGTCATATCTTGCGTTTCCGCTTTAGCGGGGTGTGACAATTACTTCACTTGAGATCTAAATCCAACGGCTCTTATCCACCTGCCTCTCCTCCACCCCTATATATATGATCACATAAACCCTAGTTTTCGTGCATCTACACGACATCTGAGATCTGACCTAGAAGATGAATCAAAACACCAACACCAAACTCAATAAATTCATTTGTAGCAAATGTTATTGTGATGATCAAAAGCTGATTCACAATATCTTTTATCGAAGCCAATACCAAAGGTTATGCACATCATGTGTTCTTTTTACATGCAAAGAGTTTTTTTGCCCCACCTGTTTTGGTGTCCATGGTTTGATTACACAGGGAACACTCATCACCTGTCGAAGATGTAATTCTAAATCTCATCCCCTCTACTTCTCCTCTAACCCTAGTCCCCCAGGAGGACCTCCGATGTGTGCATCTTGTGTGAACCCTGAGAAACTGATTTTTAACCCTAAGGGGTTGAGAATGAAAGGGGTTGATCGGGTTGTGAAGCTGATTGGTGACAAGGCGATTGTTTTGTTCTTGACAGCAGCAAAGGTAGGGGGTCTTTTGATGTGTGGGGTAAGTGAGGAATTAGACTATGATGGTGGGATGCTAGTAACAGAAACTGTTATCGAACATAAAAAAGCAATATTGGGGGGTGATTCGTGCTATGAGAGATCATGATTTGAAAAATAAAAATCGGAATGTTGACTCACTGCTTGACTTTTCGAGTAGCGAGGATGGATATGATGATGATACTTCTTCTGATAATGGAAGGATGCAAAGGTTAAGCATTGAAGGTGAAGTTTCTGAAGATGTGCCTGTGGAGAGAGATTATCCTTAATGCAAAGGATGATGCAATTCAGAAGAATTTATCATTACTAGGTTTCTTGATTATCTTGAAGGTGAGTGGTATTTTGGTAAAATAAAAAACCTTTATCTTGTGGACTTTACTAAGTAAAATAGGTTATTTGAGTCTAACAAGCATTGGTTTATCCATAAACAATTTTATAATTTGAACATGCAATGTAATGATGAATGCTATGCTAGTTGTTGTTTTATGTTTGGAAACCAAATATTCAATGTGTTATGTTGTGAGATATTTGGTATTAGTGGCTTTGTTTATAATGTTTTTGAGAAAGGGTTATATTTTTAGCAACCCTTGAGGTGGCTGACATAAGAACCCAGTTCCCACAAAAGGAGCCTATCCTAATCTTCAGTTGAGGTTGAACACTCACACTGTATGTCCATTTAGGTTTAATCTGGATCTATGTAGTTCCATTTATGTCTTTTTGGTTCATATTATGAGTATGTGTGCATATTAAGGTAAATTTAGGCATACTTAGGTCTAACAAGGTCAATTAGTATCTACTTAAGTGCTTTTTGGAAAATTAAGGTATACATCTACTTGTAGTTTTGGTTTCACCTAAACAGCTAATTTCTTATGCTTGACTAGACAACCCTTGAGTTGCTTAACAATAAGACCCTCATTAAGGAATTGACGACTTAATTAGAACTTCAACCACTAGACTGGTTGTTTTGTTGTATATGGTTTCAAGTTCAAAAGAATGTATCCTTATTTTCCCAACTTCTGTATCAAGTCAAAAGGAATTACCTATCTGTAGTTCACCAGATTAAGTTGTTTGTGTACAAGGTAGTTGTCGGTGGTTTTTCACTTTGAAGTAATTGAAGTAGCATATTATGTTTTTTTGACTTGTTGGGTGTTACCAACTAGCAACATATGTCTTGGACTTAAAAAATACCATAGGATTTTGGCCTATCAATTAGTAATCTGGAACGATATATCTCTCATATTGTACGTGAGTGGAATTTCTGCCACTAAAATCTGCAAAAGTATCACAACTTCGTTATTGGTCTTTTGATTTTCTGACCCTGTTCCATTTGGCTGCATTTGTTAATTAGGACATGACTAGAGAGGACTCCTTGTTCGCTATCTTTTTTTTTTTTTTTTTTTTTTTTAACATATGCTCAATTAACAATATTTTTAAAAAATTTCTTGATAATTTCAGGGAGAAAATGTTTATATGAAAATGAAATTGGTATAATTATTATTGTTGACATATGACTGATAAATCTTGAACAAAAATAAATTTAATCATAATAATGTCTTGGTGTTATCATTAATACGATCAATGGATGCGTTTCTCACTGTAACAACGTTTATCATTTTTATTAAAAGTCAAGTACAGAAGGTTTGAGTGAGAACATTGAGAGTCCAAGTATGATTGAGACAGCATACATATCTTAGAAGTCAAAGGTCGATATACAAGGTATATCGAGAAGTTCCAGATTGGCTACAACGATAATCTTTTGTTCTTTTAGATGCTTGTACAAAATATCATCTTAATCCATCATATACACATGATTTAGTATGACAACTAAAATAAGTGATCAACCACGAAAAACAAATTTTAAATCCATTACACACATTATTTGGTGAATGTTCCCTTTCATTCGGTATAAAGCAAAAAATAAAAATGTAACATGTTTTTCCATATAAAGCATAAGGTTGTTCATGAACACTCTAACATAAGCTAGTCGTGATGTCTATCCTCAAAAGAGTTAATGTTGAAAAACAATCAAGTTTGTGCTCACTAGCGGTAGTGATGTTACTCCATACTAAAACCATAGTAGCATGCGGTGGTAAGGAAGTCAAGAGTCATTGTATCTGTTCAATTCGTTGATGAAATTAATGATGTTAAAGATATCTATATAGATGTCTTATTTGTTACTATACTTATGGGATTTTGGCACATTAGAGTCATCTAATGTATGCTTATTAAGATCTAGGAAATATGTAAACTAGATTTTGAGAGCGTGACATTCTAATTTGGAAGCTATTGGTTCTGAAATATGGTATTAACTTTTTTTATAGATAATAGATTTACATGGTGGTGATAAATAAGATTGATCTTCACCACCGCATCTGTTCATAATTAGTTGTAATGACCACACTCAAATAATCCATTACTTGTAAATGTAATTTGTGTGACTGCATGTACACATGAACATGTTTTGATATAAATAAATTATGTGAATTCTAAATCAACAGTATAAATTAAGTTTTTGATAAATGAAAGACCAATTCGTTAGGCCTTCTTTGGATGTGGGAGATAAGCTTGGGTTTTAATCAAGAATTTCACCTATACAATAAACATAAGAAAAAAAGGTTGGGAGTGAATCCTGGAAACACTCTTCATCCTATGTTAGTGTTGCTTATGAGGGTAAAAACAGTAATTGCATCTTTCATTGTGTGATGGTGTGTGCATTAGTGGGTTAGGTATTGTGATGACATTAGATGAATTAAGCACATTGTGTCATGTTGTGTTGCAGGTTGATAATTATTTTACTAATAATATACTTACAATTGTCCATACGTATGTATAATAGAACTATGAAGGAGTACATTTTGTACATCCTAAGATTTTATGAGATACACTATTGTTCAGGTTGATGTGTTTGGCTTTTGAGTCTGGCCCCATTAGTCGAACTCTAAGATCTAGTAGACCGAGGGTCCACTATTAAGCCCCAATATGACTTATGATTACGAGAAGCATACACATTATTCAAACTTAAAATCGTCATCTGTGTGTCATCGTGTCAGTACACGTGCTCGAATATTGAAATGCCTTCATTTTGTATATTAGGTCATCGGGTATACCACACATGAGAGGGGTCTATAGCCAGGTGGCATGGGCACCATGATTGTGCACAATGCCCCTTCTTCTGTTGTGCAACAATCGTGATGGATCATGGTGTGTGGCACGACAAACCACAACCAACGAGAGACTGTTCATATCTTTTTTTGTACACACCACGATGAGGGCTAATGTTGATAGTATACCATTGTTGGTGTGGAAGGAGAATGTGGTGAATTTTCATGGGATAATCGTGAGGTAGAGGGGGATAGCGTGGGGAGTATACTTCATGGCCTTAAGTGCCCTCCCATTGCATTTAGTTCTGATTTGATGGGTAGATCATTATCCTACCTTTTAGCTCTCTTGAAATGGTATCCTTGATTAGGGTTTTCTTCTTCATACTCTTTTCATTTTTTTGTTTCCTTTTTTTTTTCCTTTGTGTTTCCTTCTCTTTCTTTCTTTTCTCTAACATGTCTCTTAAATGGTTAGACAAAAATGTAATGTCCTAATTAAAAAGTTTCTTTGAAAACAATTAATATGTAAAAACCATTAATAAAAGAAAATATTTTTGAAAAGAATATATATAAAAATGAAAACCATATATTTCAATGTTAATTATAACAAACGCATTTATAAAATATTTCATTCCTGATATAAAAAACTTTAAAACATCATCCTGTTAAAAAATTTTGAAATACGTTATCGAGTTTGTTAGGACCTTTGAAATTTGATATATCAAAAGTTGTTCCTCATATATTGCTACCACTCATGTCATTAGGGGTTTCATACCATGTTGACATCAAGGACCTTAATGAAGATTCGGCAGTACAAGAAGCTTTGAAGATTAAAGATAAATTCCTTATGAATTAAGGATATCAATGAAGATCGGGATTACCATATAACATTAGACTTGCACTTGTGTATGAGATTGAGTTTCCTTTTGTACCTATCTTGTATGTTAATCTATGACCTTAGTCTTTTATTATATATATATATATATATATATATGTATATATATATATATATATATATATAGACACACACACACACACCCTCTTCTGTAAAGGGTCAGCGATCAAGAGTGTGTACATAGTCAGAGTATGTTTTCTGATTACCTCTTGGTTATTGAAACTATTCTATTCAATAAAGTTAAATTTCATCATTCTTGTTTATTTACTTGTTGAATCTATTTCTTTGGGACCAACAACTGGTATCGAAGTAGTGTTTAGATCATTTTCTTTTTCCTCCTCATCATGCACTTTTTGATCTAGTTTCTTGAACAAACGCCCTCCCTTTAATGAAAAGAACATCTCGATGTGGTTAAGTAAGACCATGATGGTTCTTGAAACCATGAATATCTACATGCTGGACATTCTAAAGGAAGGCCTCTATGTTCCTTTTAGGACTATTATTAAAGAAGAAAAAGCACCAGTTACCTTAAGAGCTCTGGTTCATCAGTTGACTAAAGATGAGAAGAAGAAAGTAAATTTTGATGTTCGTGCTAGGGCTGCAATATGTAATTCTCTTCTTTACAATGTTTACCATTTGGTAGAGAACTATGTATATGCAAGTAGATCATTTCAACTGTCAAGATTACTTATGAAGGAACTGATGAGGTGGATAATAACTTGAAGAACTCCATCATTTGTAAGTGCGGGTAGTTTTTTCTTATAACAATGTATCCCTCACTAGAACTTTTCATCGATTTAACTATTTAATTAATGACCTGAGAAAGTTTGAGATTATTAATGATGTGTTGGTTAATAAGTTTCTTGACTCCCTTGATGAGAGTTGGGAGCATCATGCTAATATCTTGAAGAATAGTGAGAAGATAAAGACCATGGATCTGCCAAATCTTTATGGTAATCTCAAAAATCATGATCAAAGTAAGGCTTAGAGAAGAAAAAGTGTAAAGGAGATGAAAGACAGAAAAAGAGATAAATAATCTACTCTTATATCTAAAGGATCCAAAATAATTGATGATCTTAGTGAAAGTGATAAAATCTCATCAGGGGAAGATGATGG